AGTCTAGGTAGCCAGCTTGCCCTAGGGATCCCCTTTTTCTATCTCCTATGTGCTATGATAGTAAACAGTAGCCTTACTTACCCAGCTTTTTCTTGGACTTTGGGGATCCAAACTCCAGTCCACAGGCTTATGTAGCTTTGTCCATTGAGCTATTCATCATCAATTGTGGACTTTTTTGTTTTTTGTTTTTGAGAGAAAGTTTTTCTGTGTAGCCCTGGGTGTTCTGGAACTCAATCTGTAGACCAGGTTGGCCCCAAACTCGGAAATCTACCTGCCTCTGTCTCCTGAGTGCTAGGATTAAAGATGTGCTCTACTACTTACTACCCAGCCAATTGTTGACATTTAACTTTAATAAATCATTACAAAAATAAATTGTCCTCATGTTAATATAATTTCAACATTTATACATTTCAAACATAATATATGGATTACATTATATAAGATAATATATTTGACATAGGACTTTTAAAAATAAAGGAGGCATAGTTCTAGCCTAGGTATCTCTCAAAGCTGGAAATTAGGAGTATTCTTTATAGAAGAATATCAAGATATTTGATGAAACACCAGAAATGAAATGGAATTAATAGAAGCTTTAAATTTAGTTTTGAGGGGTATGGTGTTGATCTGTCTAACCCAGATACTGCACTAGAGATTAAATGACCTCTTTGGTATAAAATTAAAATATTCCTGAGAGTGGTTGTAAAGCCCTTGATGGTGATTTCTGCACAGTGGTAACTGTTTGCTTTGATTGATACCCTTAAGAAGCATGGCAGGCTGGATGAGAAATTGTTGTTCACAAATGTGAAGTAGGTATAAGACAGTTATAGAATGACAAAATCAGACTATGTTAGCGTAATTGACTGCTTAATCCAGATCAAAGGGATCTCTACAGCAAGTCTCTGAGTCATTCTTCATCAGCTCTCAGTTTTTTGTGCACTTCAGTTTTTTTCCTGTTAATGCTAATCAACAGAAGATGTTGATGTACCTTACCAAGATTTGCGCTTTTTCATGCTAGCTCTCTTTGCATTAAGCTTAGTCTTTTTTGTGACTAATTATTGAGTTTGGGGCATGTTTGACTGTAGCTAGCCTTTCTCTGTCCAGTCAGCCAGCTCTCAAGTAATGGCATGGAGAGTTATTAATTATGTAAATTTGGCCTTAGTTTATGTTTGTCCCACTAGCTCTTATTACTTAAATTAACCCAGCCTCTGCCTGGGATCAAAGGCGTCACCGCCACCACCCAATTTAGAGATTTATTTTTGACTGGACTCAGAATTTGAAGTTCTCGGAGAAGACACAGCCAAAGTCTCTTGGCAGTCTGTTCTGGCATTTTTCTTTGGCATTCTTCATTCTCTTGGCCAAAAGTTTAGCATATTCTTTAGCCTCTTCTTTGTTTTCCTTAGTTCATTTTTTTCTTCCGAGCAATACATTAGATTCGAGTTTCAGGACATGTGGAGTAACAAGATGATGAATCATGGGTGCCTTGGTCTTGTACTCCATACCTTTTTTGTTTAAGGGCTTTCAGAAAGCATTTTGGAGGATATCATCTTTAGAGAGACTGAAAAGTTTTCAGATTCTTCAGGCTTTTGGGGGATCCATCCACCAGAGCAGAGTAGTAGCTGTCAGTCAAGGAATATCCTTATCTCCTTTTTTTATAAACCAGCACAGCCAGGGCTACACAGAGAAACCTTGTCTCAAACAACAACAACAACAACAACAACAAAAAAGCATTCAGATTGACATCCATAAATAGACTTGTGCTTCTTCCTTTCAATTCTCCTTGGTCTTTTACAAAAGTGCCCCTGATTCAACAACAGGCATACTCTGCTGTGGGTCAAGAAACCCTATTTCCTGGGAACTGTGTTTTTTCCATTGATTTGGACTCCACAACTCTTTCTTCACCCAGAACATCAACAACTACTTCTGTGGCCATTCACTTTTCATAGACAGTACCAAGCTTGTGTTCATCATTGACTGCAATGAGTTTCTGATGGTCAGTGGCTGGAGAGCAGATACTGAGCTTAATCTGGACACAACTGACCCCTTAGGATGTGCCACCAAAAAAAAAAAAAACAAAAAAAACAAAAACAAACAAAAATGTATACTTTTAAAAATGAAAATGATTGCTGTAGTGTAACTACTGGACTAATTTGTTTTCTTTTTCCTTATTAAAATAATGATGTGTGAAATCCATGCAAATACATTATTTTATGTAGATTCCTTTAGAGCATGTTCCTACGTGTGGGATTGAGCATACTGAACATTTTGATAACTACTGCCAAACTGTCTTCCTAGGAAGACTGCAGATTCACATAGATACCGACAGGGAGTAAGAGTGTTGGTTTACCCTTACTGCCAAAATGATATCACTATTTTAAAATTGCTTCCAATCTGATGTTGAAATTTCATTTTATATTTTAAATCTTGAATTTATTTGAGATCTTGATGTTGAACCTCCTTTCAATTTCTTTTTTTGGCCAGTTATTATTTTGCTTTAATTGCTTTAATTGGCTCCTTTTATTAAGAAATTAAAAATCATTTAGTAATGGCTTATAATCATTTTCAAAGATAAATTTTGCTGGGATCTGGGGATCTGAACTCAAGTGCTCTTTTAAGTGATGAGCCATTTCACCAGCCCCAAAATAAATTTGGAATATGAATTTTTTATTAAATACTGCACATATAAATTTTCCTAGTGCCTGCTTCTCTGTTAACTGCACTTATGGCATCTCTTAAAGTGAGATACTTCATTTTGTAGACTTGTTAACTATTTATTCATGGTCTCTGTATTTGCATAGTGTTTAAGAGAGACTTCTTTTTATAATACACTCTTTTATATGCAAGTTTATTTTGAGTTGTCCTCTCTGTTGTTTTCTGATCTTCTACCAGTAGTGTGCTTCTGTAGTTCCTGTGTGTGTCAGGTCTTTGAAATCTGACAGGACAAAACCACCACCTTTCATTAATTTCTGCACAGCTACCCTTGCTGTTGTTATTTATGGTTTCTCCTCTTTACCCTCAGATATCACTCCCCTGTGTTGCTGTAACCCTACTGTATTCCGTTAAGATTTGTGACATTTGCGTTATATATGAATAGAGATAACAGACTGCTGGTGATTTAGATGAAATAGTCTTTGAAATAAGAAAGTTGTTCACAGTTAATTCATAAATGGATGTTTTTGTTTCCAAGTCTTTTGCAATATTTGATGTTGATGTTTTTGAATATGTAGCTTCTATATAAACCTTAATGTGTATTACAATTATTTTAAAGAATAGAAGCCATATTTAAACTAAATTGCTGGACTTTGCTACTTTGTCTTATTATTGTTAATAGAGAAGCAAAGCAAATATAACCAAGCCTTTTTTGCTTTTGGGGTTTCTTTCTTAACAATAGGGAATAAAATTAAAATGAAGAATGTAGGAAATTAATTTATTGTTCTTATTTTTAATTAGCTGGAGTTAGATGCTATTCTAAGCACAGCTTCTGTTACCATGGAGTTTTCTTAACCCAGGGTCAGCTTCCTTAAAAGCGCTGGGGCCTGCTTTATGCTTTGAAAAAAAATAATTCTCAGTGGCCTTGAGTAGTAGCTGTAGCCTTTGTTATATCTTAATTGCTACGTTTACATGAGAAACATAAAGTCATCCCTGTATTTCTGAAGAATCAATACAACACTCTGCATTGTATGCTTAGATTTAAAGCATATGAAATAGAATAGTGGGTATATAGAAATAAATTTTTACAAATAATAAATAATCAATATTAATTTGTTTTGCAACTATGTTGTTCAAATTAAATGAATAGGTTTGATAACCTTTTTAAAAAGTTATTTAATTATACTTATTTATTTGTGGGGGGGCACATTTGCTATCCTGTGGACAACTTGAAGGAATCTGTTCTCTCTTTCCACTGTTTGTACTGCAGGAATTATCAGGCTTGATGACCAGCACCTCCACTCTCTGAGCCAGCTCAGTGTTCAGATTCGACAAGCTTTTAAAGACTATTTAAGCTGTTTGTCTCTCTTTAAAGTATTTCTAGTGCTATGAATTTGTGTGTGTGTTATATTTCTTAGGGAAATACCATTTCATTTATTCTTACACAGGTGGAATATTTAAGGGTTTCTGGGTTTGCACTCGGAGTCTAGGATCTGGGGGATGGAAAGGGGCCTATTCTTTTTCTATACATCTCAAATTAAGTTACCCTAGGTCCAGAAATAGAATGTTTCTATATTTTGGTTAAGATCTGGGAAGTGTCTAGGCAAATCTCACATGGTTCTTAAAGTCCCTGAAGCCACTTTTCTTCAGCATTTCTAGTATATTTAACAGTTGGTAGGTCTAGCACAAAACGCACAGAGTAGATCTTGTCAACAGAAAGACATGTCATTGGTCCAGAAAGATCTTACAAGTCATATTAACACACAAAAGTGACCAAATGGGCATTTCCAGAAGTCATCCCCCTCCTTCCTGAAGGTGTCAGTTGTTGTCTACTTATACAGGTGTCTTGTCTGTCACTGCCTTACCTAGCAAGCCTCTGACACTATGGATCATCTAATTTATACCCACTGGTCCACACCACCTTCCCTGTCTGTACAACTAAAATAAAAATGAGGAAATGCTAGCATAACATAAAACAGAATCTAACCTATTTTTCTAGAAACATACTGCAGTCTCATTTCTTTTATTCCTTTGTTGTATTTTTTTCCTTCTCTGAAATATTTAATTTCCCTTTTCTTACGCGAATTCTACTCAGCTCAGCTGCCAGCACCTTGAAACTTCTTTGATTAATTGTCTACAGAATTTTCTCTGTGTTCTGAAGTCTTAGAGCATTTCTCTTCTCAACATGATAACTTGTATTATACTTGTAGTGTGTTTGGATTAGCCTCTTTCCACTGCCAGGCACTTATATACAGACATCTACTGGCTTTTTGAAGACTTGAAGTACTATTTTTACCCTACTTTCCCACTTGGCCTTCTGCCTTAAATTTGAAATTTTTTTTCTTGCTTTTCAGTTACAGATGAGGATACAGTTAAGAGATATTTTGCCAAGTTTGAAGAGAAGTTTTTCCAAACCTGTGAAAAGGAACTTGCCAAAATCAACACATTTTATTCAGGTGAGTAGTCACAAAGAAAAAAAAAGACATTCTGCAATGCCCTTCAGACATGATCAGTGTTACTTGAGACTGACTTCTCTTGTTTATGCTGCAGTAATGTGATTGGTACTGTAGTGTATATACTTTTTGTGGTCATTACCTAGGTTCCCTTACAGGTTGTAAGACCTTCTGTTATAAATTTGATTTTATCTTTTATAAATTTTAATCCTTATTTCCATATTATTACTTACGTTAATTTTATGCCCTTTCATGGCTAGAACACTCATCTTCATCTCTCTAAAGCATAATCTCACATGTGTCATCTGCAAGATACTATTGGAGCTTGAAAAGAAAATATTAACTTTATATTTTTTTATGCCTAGCTTGTTTAAAGTATATGTTTTAATATTCTTAACAGAGATTAGTAAAGCAATGTCCTTGTAATGGATTGCCTAGGGCATTGCCTTAAGCATCACAAATCCTGTGGAGCCTAGTTGATAATTATAATGTTTTGTGAGTACAGAATCAAAACAGTGATTTAGATTCAGAGAGACTTCATCCAGACTTTGAATAAACCTTATGTGTATTCCCTTGTACATTGCTCAATGTACCCGCTTTATGCTTGGAATCACCTACTAGATGCAATGATCAATAATGGATTTCCCTCTTCTCTTGGCAAAGGCTTTGGAAATACCATAGTCTTAATACTGACATAATCATTAAAAGCAAACAATCAAAACGATTAGTATGGGTTAGTCCGAGGATGACTAGTTGCATGACTTTATTAGTTTCTTTTTCAAAGGATGATTTTTTTTCCTCCTAGCACGTGTAGAACTTTTGGAAGCATCTTATTCAGATATTTTCTCAGCAACCCTCAGATAGGTCTGATTATTCTTGTGTATGGTGCAGTGGGAGACTGAGAGAGGTAAGAAGCAGTATAAAGCAGATGCCAAAACCCTAAGAGGCTTGGTCTGACATTTTTAGGTGCTGTTGTTTTCCAAAATCAATACTGCTGTGTATCCTGCAAAGTGGATCTATGAACATCTGGTATCTTGTGGAGTTGGCCACTCCTGTGTATTTGCTACTGCGGATCTCTTGGTTGCTCACTGAGAATAAAGATGCTTACCTCCCAATGTAAAGTTTTATCTCAACTTTCTGTATAATTCTGGTGACTTAATTGCCTTTGTGGACAGTCCATTTTGGGTTCCAATCTACTTTTTTCACATTTTCTTATGGCTGTACTTGCCCAGAATTGTTCTCCTCCAGATTAGTAAATTCCACAAAATTCTATGACCATATTTTCTAGGCTTTAAGCTTTTTACACACTTTCTCTAACATCTGGATGGATAAATACATACATAGCATACATACATACACATGTATTATTATTTTGTGTTTATGGGTTTTTTGCCTGCATGCATGTCTGTATACCATATGCATGCAGTACTGCAGGGACCAGAAGAGGGCATCAGATCCCCTGGGACTTGAGTTACAAATGGTCATGAGCCACCATGTGGTGATGTGGATTGAATCTTGGTCCTCGGAAAAAGCAAACGGGTCTCTTAACCACTGAGTCATTACTCTAGCCCCCTATTATTCCAGTCATGTCACAACCTGTATTGATGTCTTTTTATCAGTCATTTTAATCATTTTGTCCCTGTACTTTCAATTCCTTTACCTCTATTGCTTTATATTGTGCTCACCTAGCAAACTCAGTGCTTCTTGTACCTTAGTGCCAACCTTCTGGACTGCCTCACATAACAATAGAGGAATTGGAACAGATACAGATTCACTGTTGTACCCTTAAGGAGGTCCTCAAAACTTTAGAAGGGGATTTGTTCTGTTACTTTTCTCTTTCTTTGCTAAGATCAAACTTGAGTATTCTGGGAAGGTCCTGACTATTGAGCTATCCCTGCCATCACTCTTGAATTCTTTAAAACCCTGCCCCTTTCTTAAAACTCTGCACCCATTATTTAACCACTTTCTTTACAAATAAAAAGTAAGGCAGACAGTTCAGATGGTAAAGTGCTTACTGTGGAAACATGAGGACCGAGTTCAGATCCCGGTACCCATATAGAAACTGAGCGTGATGATGCCCTCTGTAACCCCAGAACTGGGGAGCAGAGACAAAACATCTTGAGGACTTGCTAGCTAGCTAGTCTAGCTGAAATATAAACTTGGATTCTGTGATAGACCCTGCCTAAAAACAATAATAATGTGCTGTTTTTTAATAATGAATTTTATTTTAAAAAATAAGGTGAAGGACGAGGGAGATGCCACACTGAGTAAAGTACTTGCCACCTAAGTGTGAGGACCTGGGTTCAAATCTTTGGAACCTACGTAAAGCTAAATGCAGGAGTGCATGTGTTGTAGGGGAAAATATGAAAGCCTGTCTCAAACAAGGTAGAAGACAAGGAGTGATCCCTGATCAGTCTATCTTTCCTGTCCACCACATTCACACTATGACATTTGAATGGCCTCATCACACTCACAAATATATGTGTATGCACATACACATTGTGTACAAACACACACACATATATAGAGTGTGGTAGAAAGGGAAAGAATGAGTAAAAATAAGGCGAGAAGTGATTGAGCAATTCTAATGTCAGCCTCTGCTTCCTATAGGCACTCACATGAAAGATACACTCAGGGACACATACCCCCACCCACCCACATGATAAATAATTTAGAAAAATGCAACCACCTATTCTGGTTGACCTGTAATATACATATCTATGCTACCTCTTTTCCAACTGTCTATAGATATTCCTTATTTTCCTCTATAACACTGCTTGAATTCAGTTTTCTGAGGCTTGTTTCAGTAATGATTTCCTCAGAGAGCAAATGAATAAATAGATTTGAACCAGTTTAGTGTTCTTAGCAAGTCATTCCTTTCAAACCAAAAGAAAATAAGCAAGTTTTTTTAAAAAAAAAAAAAAACTATAGCCTTCTCTTTTTTCATTTATGTCAGGACTCCTTCCCAGGTAGAGAGAGGAGTTTATAAAAAGACACAATGTCTATGCATGCCTTTATTAAGAGATTACAGGAACCTTCAAAAGCAGGAACAAAATTAAAATATTGTTTGAAAGCATGAAAAAGGGTAGACCTTCAAGAAAAAATTGTACAGAAAGAATTGCAGTGTCCCAAGGACAAATGTGATTTCCACTTCGGAGGTAGAAGGTCAAGGAAGAGCCAGCAGTGTAGACAAAGAGAAGGCAACTATCATGGGAAGATATTGTGGTTTGAGTGTGAACTGCCCCTCACAAGCTCATGTTTAACCCTTTGTTTCTGAGCTGGTGGTGCTGTTTTGAGAAACTGTGGATCCTACAGGAGATGGGTAGCACAGACAAGCCACTGGGGGTGGACTTTTAAGGGTTCACTTGGCCCCTAGTTGTAGCCTACTTTTCTCTGCTTCCAGTTTTGGATGTGAACAGCCTCCCTCACACTGCTCTGCCATTTCTTCCTTCTGCACTCAAATCTGAATCCTTGCACTGAAACAAATCTTCCTTCCTGCTTCTGTCAGGGATTTTGGTTATCATGATATAAAAGTAAGAGCATTGGAAAGACTGTGGCTGCACTAGAAAATGCTATTAGATAAGACTTAAGGCTGTAAATGAAATATATACAAGACTAGGTTTATTAGTATTTCTCTTTTGCTGTGGTGTTTAAAAGACCTCTGATCTCAGATCTAAAGTGGTAATTTGTGTCCAGAGGATAGATAGTGCTTCTTAGTTTACAAAGAAAAATAAATATCTATTCTTAGCAATGGAGAATTTTGAGTTATAGTTTAAAAATCTACTTTATGACTAAATATGCAAATATACAGCTATCCACCTTGTTTTGTTTTGCTTTTTTTCTTCCCAGACAGGATTTCTCTATGTAGCTCTGGCTGTCCTGGAACTTGCATTGTAGACCAGGCTGTCCTCAAACTCAGAGATACATATACCTGCCTCTGCTGGGATTAAAGGTGTGTGCCACTACACCTGGCTAGATCTTCAGATCTTATGTGTGCTTATGCACCTATGAGTGTGAATATGCAAATGTTTAAATCATTTAAGTGTTTTTAAACAAACAATATTTGTCTTCTTTTAATCTATTTTTTAAATACTTTTTCTGATTGATTTTTAAAATGTTGATTGTGTTTCACTAAATTTTGGGGGTTTTGTTATTTTTGTTTTTGTTTTAAGACAAGGTGTCACTGTGCAGTTCTGACTGGCTTGGAACTTGCTATATTGACCAGGCTGGCCTCAAACTCACAGGATTAGGCTGTCTCTGACGCCCTAGTGCTGGAATTAGAATGTATCCAACCTAAATTAGTCTTGAACATTGCTTTTGATCCATATTGGGTTGCAGGATTCAGTTTGAAAAATAATATCATTGAGTAGATCAACTTTCAAAAATTATTTTGGGTTGGCTATTATTAAATTTTTTGGATGCTGTAAGATAATAACTTATCTATGTGTATTGGCAGGGCCATTGGGGTACAAATTGATAGTCACTGACTGAGTTTTTGCAAGGTCAGTAAGGGGTAAGTAATGTGATTGGACATGATTGGAAGACAAGAAATAGAATTTGGCAAGTGTAGACAGTATCACTTTCCTCCCTAGTTAGCTGCTTTCTGCATAGCAGATTGTCTTATAGACTGCAGTGTTCAGGCACTCATGCCTGAGAGAAGACATAAGTAACTAGTGAGTTACCTTCTGGTAAGGGTTAAGAGAAGCTCTATTTGGCCCAAACCAGCCTCTGATACCGTCCTGACAGGGCTTTCTAGTGCTGGGTATAGTTGTGTGCGCCACCTATTTGAGCTTATTTATTAACTCACCTTCATCCACTAAGGTAGCACAGATTACTTAATACCTAAAAATGGTCAGTCTTTAAGTGACTTATATTCTAGATCCAAACATTTTACTACCTTTTGTCTTTCTAATCATACCAAAATTCCAAAAATAAATAAAATAATAAAGTGCTAATTCCATTAACTAATTACATTTTGAATTTTTAAAGTTTAGATTTTTGTT